ATTTATACACACACACAAAACACAGCCCCCAGCCTTGGGCCAAATTAGCTCTCTGCCGTCCAGAAATGCTTGTAAGGGGGTGGATATTTTCTTCCTAAAAGGAATCAAATACATAAAAATAAATGAATTTAGAGGTTGATGAGGAATGGGATGACAAGAGCCCTCTGTGGGATTGGGAACTGGGGGTGCTCAAAAGACTGTTATAGCAGGTTTCTGAAATCTTAAGGGGAATGAGAAACTAGGATTTCCAGAATAAGGTATGCCATTCTTTTATATTATCACCTACCTCTTAAAATTCTTTAATTTGGTCCAGCTAAAACTTAAATCTAATCAGAATGGGGCCACTCCAAGTCAGAAAGCTTACAATCCTCCCCTCCAAGGATTAGGGTGCACCTTGCCTGGTAAGAGGGGCAGCCACAAGGAGTGGGGTATCTCAGGATTTCTCCAGGTTAAATCCAGACTCACTCCAAGTTGCTCCAACACAGTTCAAAGCTCTGCCTGTTAGTTCGTTCTCAGACCTATTGCCTTCTGTGCTCAGCTCAGCTTCCCAGTTATTGAAAACCTTGGGCAACCGACCCACCTGGAGTCCACACAGGGGTGAAGAACACAGATGCAGCTCCATCCAAATCACCATGAAAGCATAAGTGAGCTTAGAATTCTGAAAAACCCTCAACCCCAACTCTTTGCAGCTGCAACAACCTCCTCCTCATATTTGTCTACGTAGAAGTCACTGAAAAAAGTAGATGGAACTCCTCCAAAAACAGAGTGCAGATGTTGTCAGGTATGGGAGCCAGGGCTAGACTAGGTGATCTTTTAGGTCAGTGCCCATTCAGAGGATTCCTACATTTCCCTCCTGCCATCAGATATGCAAACAGACTTTGCCAAGAGACCTGCCATACGAAGGAGGGATCCTAAGGTCTCCCTCTCCCTCTCTTGAGTACTCATACCCCATGCCTTTCTCTCCACATCCTAGGTTTCCCAGCTGGGGAACAAAAGGGAGCTGCATGAGAAAGGAAGTGTAAGGCAAGCCCGCCCCACTCTGCTATTCAGGAAGCACCTCGCTGCCCACACTACCAGCGCCAGACATGCTGGTACTGGCCTCCACTGACGTCTCAGTAACACCTTGGGGCCCCTTGCCCTGCTTCCCACCCAAAGCTTAGGCCAGCCAACGTTCTCTAACAGCCAACACGTGCCCCAGGGTATTCCCATCTCGAGTGCTGGACTCCCGTTCTTACATCAAGCACCCCTCTGCTGGTGCTGCTCGGATAAACACCCACGTCAGTCACACATGAAAAATCCTACATGGAGCTGCTAGAGCACACCTCACCAACCCCGTTTTCTCAAGCACCATGTCTTCCTCCCTGAAACTCATTCAGTCACATCCCGTAGAAACCACTGACAGCCAGGGTCAAGGTGAGCTTACCAGTGTTGTATCCGTGAGACCCATATCCACTTGGCTGTTGGAAAGGGGTGGCCGATGCATTCACGCTGACATTCACACCATGCTGCTTGGAAGAGGTAGGAGCCACCTGAAGACAAAAGGGCTAGAAGTGAGGTGACGTGGTGGCAGAGAACCATTCCCCCCTACCTGTCCTACTCTAGGGATGGGCATTCAGATGGCTACCATCCTGAGACAGGCAGACCAGTCTGCTTAGTGAAATGGGCTCTCTACAGAGCTTTATAAAATCTACCGGTGAAGTCAAGAAATGGTAGTTCAAAGGAAGGGAAAGTGGTAGGTAGCAGCTGGTAATGAAGGACAGTCTAGGGCACAAAGCTGCATGGGATCACGTCCCCTATCCCTTCTTTAGATAATTCTAAGAACAGGTAACCTTTATCCCAATACCACCAATTCCAGCCCCCCTCCCTCTGCCAGGCCAGAAACAGGCCAGAGGTGGAACTGTCTCTCCTCATCCATTATTAAAAAGTCATCTAGCCTTGAAGGCAGCTAGGATAGTGTCTGGGGGCTGGGATTCTTCACCACCACAAGGAAAGACCAAGCCCAGGTACTCACAGGGAACACAGCAGGCCC